CGTCCAAGGCGTTCCCTATATGCTGGCCTTGGAAGTCCTCCTCCATGTCGGACCATATCCCATAGTGACGGTAGCATGTCAATGTGGTGTGGATAAGAGGCGGTAGCTTCTTCCGGACTTCGTTGGAGCCTGTCCTGACGATAACAAAGACGTCATCGAGGCCAGTCAAGGCAGCACAGGGGTCGTGGGCCGTGCTCGTGCTCGTAAAGTGTGGTAAGGGTAAATGGTGGTCGGTAATGAAGGAAACATGGCGGTAATCGCGGAGCGCATGGAGTGTTGCGAGGACTATTATACTTATGCCAGCATAAGTCACCAACCGCCGTCGGTTCCATAGGCTTCCCGGTGTTAAGCCCATTTTTAGGAGAGAAGTTTATTCATCAAAGGTATAGAAGGTATAGAGACAGGACGGGTGACGGGTATAAAGCTCTATTCATTCAACACCAAAAAGTATATATAAGACGTAATGTGGTGCTTTCTAAAGAGGAAAAGAATGGAGATGGCTGACTCGGCGTAGGGCCACGCAGGGATCAAACTCAAAACTCAAAAGACGGTCTTCTGCCAGCAGATTTGGGGGTCGTCGAGAGTAGATTCTTGATTTTTAATCGTGAAATTGCTAATGCCAAGTTGGGGTTTCTTGTAGAGGCTATATACTTTTGTGCACAAGACCACGAAGAAAGGTCTTTGGCCCAAGTCAGCAGCACGTCAATGGAAAAAACGCAAGGAGAGAACTCGGCATATGTGAGTGAAGCCAGGAAATCATTCAAGTAGTTTCAATAAACAAAAATGTGGTAAGAGAAGAGCTGCAAAAGAGAAAAGTAAGATGTTCATCAAAGTGGCTATAACTTTGTTACATCAGCGCGCCAAGGCTTACGATGGAGTTGCACAGTATTAGCAGGATCCAACAAGCTGGCAAAGGACCAGGGCACCGTTTTTTCTCAGTAGTTCGACGCTCATAATCTACACGTAATAATAAGTAAGGAAAACGACTCGCGTCATTCGTCCGCGTAGATAGGTACTTACGTCAGTGTCAGTCTTCAGATCTCCAAACCAACCAACTTTTGTTCTCCGTCCATCGCCCTTCAACCCAATAGTTGAAAGATTTACCGTTCAGTTTATTATTCCGACCACTAGGCTTTTACCATTACTTCGGCTCTGCATCTCTACATATGCACAAAGTCAGCCATTCTCTTCTCTCCGAGGTATTGATAAATGGACAGGTTACACTCACGAGTTACCGTACTGAGTCCTTAAACGAGGGGGCCACAAGACATCTGAGATAGGGGAAAGGTAGGACCAATACGCTGATCAATGCTGATCAACGGGGGAAGGTGGACAGAAACTGGAGGGTCTACCATCCACGGACGCCACGGAGAGACATTCCACCACCAGTCTGAACCAAGAACGAGAGCAGGACGAGAAAACCCCCCCTGGGGCCTGGACCGTGCGTAATTGTGGTTCAAAATGACAGGGCTGATGAAAGTTGAAACACCAAGGAAGTCCCACCCTGTTTTCTCCCCTGTCACCGTAAGTACCTACTTAACCTACTTGCAAAAGCCGGGCACAAGAATCCCCACCGGGTGGGCTTGCCAAATAAGTTTAAATTGAACATTACAAGACGAGAATAGGACCTTTAACAATACCCAAAATCTCCCCATGTACGCGTAGATAGCATGGTGGTCTACTACCATTGAATACACGTATATGCTTTTCCCAGAATCCCAAGTCGTTGGTATGTTTTAGGTTTGATAGATTCTTCTACTAACGTAATACACATAGTCCACAAGCAAGTTTTGACAGGTTCGGCACATCCGCGAACTATACTAACTAACCTAAGTACCTAATTCAGCTAAGCTTCAAAAGTACTCGAGTCGTCAATCTGCTAATATCGATCCAACAGCATGAAATATTGGCGTTTGTGCTGCTTAAATCCTGCCCCCCAAAATAGACGTGTCACCTACCACAGTATTTCTGGCACCAACTTACACAGTACCTACTTAATCTGGATAATTGCGACACCATTATTGGACACTCCCCTAGCACAGTACCTCACATAGGGGGTTACAGCAGGTTACCTAGGCAGCTTAGGTATGTCACTAAGCATGTGGCTAAAGGGGGCTTGCTCCTCGTATCACCTGCCCATCGAATAGAAACTCGCTTTTAGTGTGGTGCAGCAGTAACATCGGAAATTTATCAAGGCTGATGATGAAAAGGGGGACGAATAGAAAAGCCGGCGCGATCAACCAAGGTTTTCTAGCTTTGGTTGCTGTTTTCCACGCGTAATTTCATGTCCGATCTGCTCATAGCCTCATCCAGGGGCCCGATCCCGGACGCGCCGTCCGCATGGACCTCAGCGGATACTCCCTCCCGGGTAAGCACGTGTGGGGTAGATGAGACCCGTTATGTTCCAGTGCACATTCAGTCGAACACAATAGCAGCCTTGATGGCGGACTTATTGCGAATGCTCTCGAGGGCCTCGCCCCATTGCTCCAGCTTACCGCCACGGCGCACGTAGTTGATGGCGTCCTCGAGCACTTTGGCGCTCCCGCTAGCCTCGACGACTAGGTGCATGGCACATCGCAATGTCAGCTAATCACGTATCGAACTAGGTATCGTGCCTTTGGGACGAAGATCCGACGCATTGGAGGCAGCATACCGATATCGAACCCATACGGGTTATCCTTCTTGATCTGCTCCCATTGGGGAGCCGCGTTTGTTCTAGATAGTGGCACGTAAAAATCGGCCGCATCAAGGTTCTTCGCAAGATCCATTTTTTCGCCCCTTTAGGCGCCGCAATCGTGAGTTGGGAGACACCGTTCAGTTTCCTGGGTGTATGCGAAATGGGACTATTAGTCCCAACCATCCGTCTCCAGTCGAACAAAACAAGGACCATCCACCTGCTTGCAGGAACTGAGCCATCATAAGACCTGTTGGGCCGGCCCCGATTAGAAGGGCGTGAGACCCGGGTCTAGGCGCGATTTTCTCCAAGCCGTGCATGGCGCACGAAGCAGGTTCGATCAGGGTCGCATCGACGTCAGAGAGGTTGTTAATCTTGAACAGACGGCCTTGCGGATAAGAGCACTAAATCACATTGTTTAGTTTCGCGTTGGATGCTCAGCGCGTTGGAGCGCGCGGGTGATGAGGGGACGGACGTATTCCGCAAACCCACCGTCTAGCCCGAGGATGCCATGAGCCTTGAAGTCCTCGCAGAGTAGTTCGTCGCCTCTCCGGCAGTAGAAGCTGTCAAACAGCCCTGCTTAGCCCTAATACACCCGGTACCAATAACAGCATGAGAGATCGATTGCCTAACCTACCAGTGACCGCACAACTCGAAGTTGTCAGCCGCAACTCTGTCGCCGACCTTGAAAGCCTTCACGTCATCAGCGAACCCTACACCAGCTTATTTATTATCCGCCTTACAGCAGTTAATATTAACGCTTTTTGTCATGAAACATACCGACAACCTCGCCAATCGTCTCATGGCCGGGGATGAGAGGGAATTCGGCGATGAACTCGCCCTCATGGATGTGCAGGTCCGTTCCGCAGACACCGCAGGCCTGTGACAACACACGCATCGTGTTACTTTATCCTGACCGAAAGCAGAGATTCAAGCATAGCTGGTTATTCCCACCTACCTTGACCTTGATAAGGACATCGCCCGGCCGAAGCGTAGGAAGGGGCACCTCTACTATCCCCCATACCTCAAGTTTCTCGTACCTATCAGTCCGCGACATGTCAAAGCAGGATTTATTATTGTCTTATTGCTCCCAGTAGGACAATGTGGTCGGTGATACAAGACAACGTCCCCTTCGCACATCCACCACTGATTAAGCGAATGTGAAGAAAATACAACTACTCATAGGTACTCACCTGAGATCATTGTTTTCGGAAGCTCAGCCATGATTCTTAAGTACATATATATGGTTACAGTCTAGTAAGTAGGTTACTTAACTTGTCTTTATCTCTGGGAAGGAAAGTGAAAGTGTAAGTCATCAAACTGCAAAAAAAAAAAGCCAATTGCTATTACGATGAACTGCTGAGCGGCAGAGTGTGGAATAATAAGACCATATGAATATTGTAAGAACCAACAGTAAACCGCTAGCTAGACTACTACTACACCTTTACTTCTTATACCTACCCTCGTGCAACGACAAGTTGTCTCAGACTCTAATAGAACAGAACAAAAAGCCCCCGCGGGGTACCTACAAAAAAGCCAGCGCCGTCCCGGAGAAAACCGCGACGCCTGAACAGACTAACTACCTACCTACTTATTCTATGCGGCTTCATACTTACATACCTAGGCTCAAGAATCGTTACCGACTAACCTCCACCTAGATGCGAAAGGCTGGGTTTGGGTAGGAGCTTGCATTGCAAGTGGCAGGTGGCAGTTCATTTTATCATCTTGGTTTATAAACCCCGCTCACCGCCGAGTACTCGTATGAATTCTAGCGCAGTCGGGTGAAACTAAACCGGAGAGGTAGTTTGAGATGGGATAACCGACGGCTACCCATTTTATAGTATATATGTAGCCTAACCTAGGTAGTGAAATAGAACACGCTAACGAGTTGAGCGAGCTTGTGGTCAATCGGGATGGAAGAACATGGGCATTGAACCTCATGCATCCGATGATCCCCGTCGAGAAAGTCAAGCATGAGCGTATCATATAAGAGATGTAGGAGGCAGATAGTAAAGTATCATTGGATGTTGTTGTATGTGACCTTTGCTCGTCATACTTTTGTCGACCGACAGAAATATATGCAAAAAGCTGGCTCTGCCTGACAGAAAATGACATTACAGAAATAGCTCCCCTTGTGCAATAGCTAACTACCTATTGTACTATCACAATGTCTATACCTGCTCTTCGTTAAAGTAGTCTAGATTTACACACTTACGGAGTGAGTGTCTTCTTAAAAAGGTGAAATACTGGCAACCAAATCGCAAGGTGCGTTGTGAAAAAAAGAAAAAAAAGAGTCCATGTTCTTGCTAGGGAAACGGAAAAAATTTGACCTCGCTGGGGGTCGAACCCAGAATCTCCTGATTACTATAAACAGTCTCGTAGTCAGACGCCTTGCCATTGGGCCACGAGGCCGGTACATGTTAGACTCGAAGTGTATAGACACTTATGACGGTAAGCCCAGGCACTACGCTATTAAAAAATTAATTAATTGCTAATAAGGCCTGGAAACAAAGTCTGGGAAGCCTTTTCCAGTATAACCGCATACGGTATCACTTGGTCATCAGGGTGTTCAGATATCATTCATATTGCAGGTATCTGGGCTCTCTCCACGCCTCACAGATTTCGCTGGCACTTTCCAGAGACACGGCCGTCCAGCCTAGATTCCCTCAATCTTGTCTAGCCCCTGGAAAAATGGGGAAAAGGAACACTACAATAAAACCCCTGGGCGGGTTCTCGTTGATTGTCAAGGTCCCCGATTTCCCTTGGGAACCATGACGCACATGGCCAGGACGACAAGAGGCATCACATCTCCAAGTAAACGCGGATGGTTTTTGCTTAGCAATCAATCATTTGTTTGGCGCAAAAACATGACCCTTAATTTCGTAGAAGACGGTACCGAGATTTGGTCTCCTTTAACTCCCACCCGTGCATCCCGAGGTTGTGCCCTATCGATTTTTCCTATCACGCATGCAAAAATCGCGTGACAATGCAGGTGCTCCATTCCCTAGAGTACATGTCCTAGCCGGCTATCATGTGCATCGAAGGAACTGTTTAGAGAAGAGATTAAGTCTCCTATTTTATTCTTTACGAAGGAGGAGCCGCTCCACGGCCACGGCCGAAACCACCACGGCTGTAAACAATGGGTTAGTTGGGTCATATCCCTTCCCCTGAAACGTTTCGCCGATGAAAGAGAACTTACAATTGGGGGTTGAATTCACCAGGAGCACCGCCCTCCTTGCCCTCACCAGCGTCCCTTCGTCGGTATCCACCCTCACGGTCACCACGGTCACCACGGTCACCACCACGGCCACGGCCGAAAGGTCTGCGCTCACGCTCGCCCTCGCCGCCCATCATGCCCCGGGGAGGAGCGTGCGATCGCTGCTGCTTGATGTGTGTAGCGGGGACGATCTCGGCGGGGAGGTGTAGCCACTCCCGGAGGTAGTCGAGACCCTCGGGGGTCAGGGTGTAGTAGTAGTATTGCCACGAAAACTGGGTCTTGACATAGCCGCGCGAGGTAAGGGACTGGGCGGCCTTGACGACGAAAAGGTTCTTGGTGTCGATATCGGGGTGCTTGGGAAGGTTGTAATCCTTCTTAGCGACCATCACGCCCTCACGGAAGAGGTACTATGTAGAAGGAAAGAATATGTTAGCTCGACCGTGACAGTTCGAATATGCCCCATTGTCTATCTCATCATCACGTAGCAACAGCCTCGCGGGGCCAGCTTTCGCATCTGCTACGTCGGGTTGTGGATTGTGGATTGTGGGTTGTGGACGGTAAACGGTGGATGTTCTAACCTCGTGGATCTTCTTGCGGTCAGCCTTCGGAATCAGCATCTTGGCGGTTCGTTGTTGGGCGACAAGATGTTGAGGATCGGTGTTGGGCGTGGTGTATTAAGGAACCTTGGGAAGTTGGCTGGCGCTGGCACACTCTCGAGATCAAAGATCGGGATTGCAGTGAATTGGAGATACCGTCAATTTTTTGGTGTGTGCAAAAACCCTACGCGAGTGGCTTGATAAGGAAATTCGAGTGGGGGTGGGCCATCTCTCCCATAAAACTGTGGCTTACGTATGTACACTTCCATTGACACAAGTTACGAGTAGAAAGTGGAACTGGAATGTGGGCACATAGCATGTACCTACGTACCGTCTTAAAGCGCCGAGACCGCCGATAAGAGATTATAGATAAGAGATAAGGAGCATTGTGATAAGGCTACGACTCCGACTCTCGTACAGTGTAACATGGTATGTACCTTCGTACCTTTGGGGTAATGTACTCGTAATCCGCCGTCGCGTTTTCATCCTCCTCATGATCCAGATCTCAGACGACAAAACTTGTACAACTACAACCCGCCGAAATCGTTCTGCCTCTGGACGTATTTAAAACTGTCGCATCCCACCAAACACACACATCACTGGGAGAACTATGGATACCGACGATAAGATGACTACAAGAAGCCTTAACGTCTTCGTCACAACATTTCCCGGCCTAGAGCTACCCCCGACTCTATCTTTTCCTCTCCCATCAACAGCAACAACATCAGATCTGCGCAACTACCTCACAGAAAAGCTGCCGCGGACAGATTCCAGATTTATAATAACAACAATCTCAAACAAGCAACTGGTACCCAGTGCAACACATCATCTTTCCGACCTTTGCGGCGTCAACGATGACTTCGTCTCGCTACGGTTATCTCTCCCCTTGTGCGGTGGCAAGGGCGGCTTCGGATCACAACTGCGCGCTGCAGGTGGGCGCATGTCATCGAAGAAGAAGAAGAACCAGGGTGATGAGAATGCATCAAGCAGAAACCTTGATGGGCGACGGCTACGGACCGTAAATGAGGCCAAGGCGCTCGCCGAATACCTGGCGATAAAACCCGAGATGGAACAGAAGGAGAAGGAGAAGCGGCGTGCCCGTTGGCAGCAGATTGTCGACGCCGCCGAAGAGAAAGAGCACGAACTGAAGAATAATACGAAAGGTCGCGTGAGCGGAAAGTGGGTCGAGGATAAGGAGGAGGCGAGTGAGAGGACGCGGGAGGCTGTGCTGGCTGCGATAAAAGCTGGTAATTACAAGGATAACTTGCTCGGAACGTCTCACGGTTCGACTTCGTCCGAGGCTATGGAGGACTCTGCGAGTGGAGAGGAAGATGCGCCCAAGGAACCAAAGAAGTCGGAATCGAAGTCCCCCACGCCTCCTACGGGAACATCTGCCAAGAAACCGCCATTAAGAGCCTTCTCTGGTTTTGATGAAGATGACGAATTCATGAGTTCGTCTGATGAGGAGGATGAATGAACGCTATATGCTGCTCGTGGCGCAATGGGCTGCCTAGTGCGGTTCAATATGCCACAGCACTTGCTGTATAGCGGTTTATTATTATGTTTGTTATGATATATGTATACCCTTTTATACGATTACCTGAATTCCGAAGCGGGATGCTTTACATCAACAGGTTACTTACTAGTTCCGGGTGTGTACCCCGATCCAAGCGTCTGCTGTGATTTTGCCTCATCGGTACTTCCTAGAAGGCCCCTATTATCATTATGTCTCCTGACAGCTAATCACTGTCCTGGTCGTGTTACAGGCTCTAGTAGGTTCGGAAAAGAGAAGTCTACTTGAATATCTACGTCCTTCAGCCCAACTAGTAGGGATGAACTGGGGGAACCAATGACCTTAAGAAATGACCTTCGCTGCAATGGCAAGTTACATTGAGTTGTCAATGTTTAGGCGTGTGCTAATCCAACTTTTCCATCATCTCGTGCTAACATGTGTAGTGAAAGGAGTGCCATCGAAGCGCAGCGCGAGAAATCTTCATATCGAGAAACAATTGACATTTCTTATAGGTGGAAATGTAGTAGCTACGGCGTATTCCAAAAGAGCTGTTCAACACATAGTCTACGGGCTGCCGATAAAATGAAAGTGAAGAGTTGATACTCTGTCGGCTTTGGGGCGACACTGGTGCTGTGTACCTCCACTCCCATGGGTCGGTGTGTCCAACGCCCAAAAGGGGTTCAAAGGAAGCCAGAGGAGAATCGGTGAGATGGCAGTGACAACGCAAGAAGCTCGCCGCACTACTATACTTGTACTTAATGAACGAGGGTTGAAAATGTACCCAAGTGAGACAAATGTTCAACTATCCCCAGCATCCCGCCTACCATCTCAGAGGTTGGACTACCTAGATCAGGTAGTGTTCATATACCGTAATTCTAGTGAAAACCTCTTTTCTCGTCTCTGGCAGGCCTTTCTATAGTACTGCTTATCTGGGACCCAATTTCCTTTTACGTTGAACCGGCGAAGAAGCGGCAGTTATGGCAGTTTGACCCTACTGCCCATCACATAGGGGTAGGCATCATGTCGAGAGGTGAGCCCATAAGCCTTCACAGACTTCTCGTAACTGAACTCGGACAAGTATCTAGAAGCAAAGAAGATCTATAATAATACGTAAAGTAAACACATAACCTATGTCCCAATTAGAAGACCATCCAGGGGGGTAGGTCCCTACGATCAGGGGTAAGGTTTCATATTGTGGCACACCAAAACTAGACGGTTGACCGACCTTGCCCCTATTGTTCGACATGATGAGAAGTACTCGGCCCTAATATTGCCATCGGTTTATCTTGCCTCTCATTTTTGAGTTAGTGGAGACCTTCTGATTGTAAATTTTGGACATCGATGGGTGTATGCTGCTTAGCGGAGGAGCGTATCCAGGGGCCAGGCCCCAGGTTAAGGAGGATATGTCTGTGATAAATTGGGTCCTCCCGTTGTTAGTCCAGTTACCAGTATACGGCGCCCGTCATGCTTCCTAGCGATTAGGAACATACGGGATCCTAAACGAAAGTGGCTGTCGATGTGCTTGTTGCCCCCTTGTAGGGAGTAGGTAAATCGAGAACGTAACCCGAGGGTGATCCTTGCGCGAGATATCCCGTATCCTTGGCGCCATCTAGCGCGATACCCAGAAGGCCGCTAAAGTCGTGAGACCGTTCTTGATGCTTTCGCTTCATTGTCAATGAGTGACTGTTACTTTGTCACATTCACATAGGTACGTGTAGGTGCCGAAGGTTGGGTAATGGTAGGACGTTGCGTAGCCGGAAACTACATTCGTAACCAAGCTTGGTCGCGGAGTGGGAAGCCAACCTTGAAACTCGGGTGTGTTGTGCAGACACCGCTTCTTCGTCCTTGTCGGCTAAGGATACAATCGTCACGTTACGGCGATCTATCATGATGAGGTCGTACCCAAGGACCGTTACCAGTTGTTACGGAGCGGGTATGCAGTTGGTTCAAGGAATCCATTCTCGGTAGATGCAGAGAGCTAAAAGCTGACTTGTCCGCTTACCGTGGGTCACCATGAACGTCGGGAATGTATCATCACATGACTCGAGAATATCGTTCCAGCACCAATGGAGTACCAGTGAAGGAT